CCCCTCCATGTATAATTAAAATAAAACATATAAAAAAAAATACTAAGAAGAGTTTCCAGGAATGACGCTTCTTAGGTCACAAGCTAGCTAAGGAAACAGATAGAGCTAGGGTTTACCTGATTTCAACGGTAAAAAATTGTTCAAAATTCAATTAGCACAACACATATTGCCCAAGGGGTATTCTCAATAATATTAATATTCAGAAACCAGGAGTATTTTAAGCTCTTGTGGTGCAAAACAGAAGACATGCAAAAAAGTTTATAGAGCACTAAACAAGCAGCTGCTAGGAACAAGAACATTTGCCTAGGGATGGAAGTCCATGCACTGGCCAATACACATGAGAAGCTCCTCAAATTACAGCCAAAATGAAGGCCAAGACTTCTAGCACTTTCTTTTATGGTTAGATAAATCTACCAGTTATTCCACAACATTTAGTGATCAAAAGATCAATAGGTCAAACTGGAATGCCCCACCCTTGTGAAAAGCGCTAAAAATGAATGCTCCCATTTCAATACCCTTTAGGCTTTATAACTGATGACAAAGGAAAGACCTGGTCTCAGCGTTGCAGCACACTACTGGAAAATGGCAGAATTCCGACCGTCAAAACGGTCGAAATTCGGTCGGAAATCACGAATTTCCGATCAAAATTGATCGGTCGGAAAACAGTTTGTCGGAAAATAATTTATGACCGAATCCGTCGGTGATTTTCGACCAAAGTAGTCGGAACGATATTCAAATTTCCGACCAAAGTGGTCGGAATTTTACCGACCGAATCGGTCGTAATAATATAAATAAAAATAATTATTTATTTAAAATTAAATAATAAAAATATATAATTTCCGACCAAATCAGTCGGAAATTAATAATTAAAAAAAATTTATTTAATTTCCGACGGGATCCGTCGAAAACTGTTAAATATTTTTTTTTTATTTCCGACCGATTCGGTCGGAAATCTGGGTGTTTTGGTAAAATCTAGGCAGTTGTCCGACTGTTTCCGTCGGAAATCAGTCGGAATTTTCTGTAAAACTGGGCAGAATTCTGCTCAATTTTAAGCTACACCACCTGTGAGACTATTACAATACAATAACGCCAACCACCAATCAACAAATATAACATCTAAACCAACAATACCAACCATTAGCACTATCTAAACCAACAATACCAACCATTAACACAATCTAAAGTCTAAACCAACAATACCAACTATTAACTCAATCTAAACCAACAATACCAACCATTAAACCTTACAATTTTTGGCATAGAAACTTCTAAATAGTAGCCCACATTCAAGTTTAAAAACCAAACATAAAGTTGTCTCTCACAATCAAGTTTACTAATCAACCAAAACACCACACCTAAACTACTACACATCAGATTTAGTTTGTTTATCCTCAACATCAGATAGATCATGCCCATGTTTTCTCATGAATTTCTTCATCTTAACAAATGTTGCGAATTGGGAGTCCAAATGTTGCTTCAAATCACGAATTTTATTTCTCATATCTTCCATCTGTTCTTGATTTTGAGAAGAAGAAGAACTGGCTAAGAGAGGGTTTGGATGACCTGTAGGTCGACGTACTCCAAGTTCGCAGACTCTGCTTTTGTTTACTCCACTCGCTGCCTCTGTCCATAATGAAGCCATATCATCAGGTGTTGGTTGAGTTGAAGGAGGTTGAGTTTGTTATTATTCTTTCACCCTTTTATGATAATCTTCCTGAAATGAAAACATAATTATTACGTAATAATAAACCATAAATAATTATGAAGTTAGTATTTTACATATGTGTCCGACGCACGCGTCTCCACCCGGTGTTCTCTTGTACCATCCTTCTTTTTTTTCTTATGCGTCTCCTCGAAGACCTCAGCGTGACTCATATCTCTCCCTCTTTCCTTTTTCTTCATAACAAAAATTATGAGTTAGACATTACAATCGTAAAATTATATATATGTAAAACTAAGAAATATTTTTAAGTAATTACCAATCTTAGTTTATGGGCCGCAAAACTAATCGAACCTCCCATGTACAACGAGCCACCTTTACTGGAGGCACGGTTTGCCTTTGCTTGTTCACTCTTCTTTTTCCATTCTTCGGTATTCCATTTCTCAAGAAGTTTATCCCAAACATCTTCTCTTAACCACTCCGGCATTTTACCAGCATTCGGAGCAGCGAATAGAGTATCTTTAATCCGCTTAGCAGCCTTCTTCTATTATTTATTTTATTTTGATGCTGAGGATGCCATGTACACTTTGTCTGCAATATAAAAAAGTAACATTAGATGAAGACGATAATTAATAAATAAATATAATAAATGTTTTCCCTAAATTGATTCCATATTTTCTCTCTGATGTTGTACGGTATCTATCTCCAAGAATTCCACGGCTCATGATAAAATGGCTTCATAGAACCCACAACCAAATGTGTAGACTGAAAGGATGGGAAAAAACTGCATTAAAGTTAACATATATATAATTAATAAACATAGTTGTTTGGGTGATAGTAGATCGGTTGACTAAGTCCGCACATTTTATTCCAGTCGGTACTAATTATTCTTCAGAGCGGTTGGCTGGGATTTATATTCGCGAGATTATTCGCCTACACGGTGTGCCAGTGTCCATTATTTCAGATCGGTGTACGCAGTTTATCTCACAGTTTTGGAGGGCAGTGCAGCAAGAATTGGGCACACAGGTTCAGTTGAGTATAGCATTTCACCCTCAGACGGGCGGACAGT